TTTTGCCATTTTCATGCGCGGAAAAGCCCAAATATGGATTCCTGGCGAGAAAATCCCAAAAATGTAAAATTCTGAAAACGAACTTTTGCCGAGACACTGCCTTTGAAGCATGACGCCGCCGCGCCTTCCTATAGACTTCTAGAGTCTTGGACCAGCAGAAAATTTGGTAAGCAGCAATAAATTTTTTGGAGTGAATGGAAATCCAATGAGCGCCATTGCTTTGTATGTATGTGCAAGCCCAATAACTCGAACATTATGAAGATTCTGAACACCAAACAATGTATATGGGAATCATTTTGTAAAGATAACATCACTGAGCGATACGGAAGCCCTAAGCGGTCACAGTAAGCTCTTAAGACGTATTACTCACTTTTAGAGCTGTCCGTAGCTGTTCAACAGCCTGTTGCCTTTCATGTTCGAGCAATCGTACTTTATTTAAGCTATCTTCTCGGATCTGAACAATACATCACTACTGAATACATAAAAACTGGAATCGATGTTTACCTGCTTATTCATTTTCTGCAACTCGCGACACAGTTCTTCTAGCTTTCCCTTAGCATCTTCTGTTTTTAACAAAATCTGGTTCGCCTTCTCAAGCTTCTTTTCAAGCGCAGTATTTGCTTTCGTCAGCTTATCTACCTAAATGGACAACGTTGCAAATAGTGGAACGATCTACATATGAATAAGGCAATCATTCTCAATGCACACTAAAAAAGCACTTACCTGTGAAGCTTTCTCCTTCAGCTTTGCATTTTGATCCTCACTTTCGACAACTCGTTTTAGCAATTTTGCAACCTTCTCTTCAAGACTCAATCCTTCCAGAGACTTTTGTAACGTCTCCATAACTAAATCATCAGTTTATCGAAGAAAAACGCAAAGATGATGGTTTAGCTTGCAGAAAAATCAAAATGTGGGGATCTAAGGAGATGAACAACAGATCTTCTTAAAGAAAAACGCTCAAGATCTTGAGAGGCTTGCTACATAAAAACCTTTACCAATAAATGATATGCAGAACATTTTGAAGATCCAGCGGTAACACCGATAAATATGGTTCAAAAAACAACTTGTTTTACTCTCAATCACGTGGTTTTTGCAGTGCACTCGTAAACAAGCTCCAGCTGCCACAGCTTTCAATTAAAAAAGTTTCTAGCATCTTAAAGTAACCCAAACATTCGATACGGCACAGATGGATCGGAAACAAGCTGGGTATCGTTTTTGGAACAAAAAGCAAAGGGTATATCGTTTTTGAAGGCGAAAAGACACAAAAATTAGGAAGTTTTTTAGTCGACTTTTCATTTTGTGAGTTTTTTACGTTCATGATTTAGGGTCAAACGGGACTTCGTAGAATTTAGCGAAAGTCACGGGGACTTTGTTTCCTGCATTTTCGGAAAACCACTTCGAGCCGAGCCCTGGATACAGATACAAAAACCTGATAGTAGCATCAAATACCGTTAAAGTGAAATCGATGTTAGCACAGTTTCCGGATTCGGAGAAAAAAGTTGCATTATTTCTGGAACGAGATTCTCGCGATCAATTTTTCAAGCTACAAAATCAAAATGTTTTAATTGTCAGCTTCAAGGAATTAAATGCACAACCTAAACAAGTGCAAACTTCAGTCAAAACATTCTCCGACGAAATGTGAGCATGGAAAACAGCTGTTATGCTTTATAGCTATCGGCTACGAAGAGTATATGTTAAGAAAAATTAAGTTGTGCCCTTAGCATTCGATAAAAATCTTCTACTGCATAAAAAGATGGCAAGGCATGGGTAATTTCGTGGGAGAAAGTGAAATTCCACGAAAAAAGTAAAAGCAGACGACAGGATGGTAAGATTCAAACTTTTACACAAGAAAGGTGAGAAATGAAAGTCAGACAAGAGTTTGCAGCGAGAAACTGGCGGTTTCACAAGATTTGCCTGGCAGATTACACAAAGGCACCGAGTCGACGAAGTGACGTAATCCAACAAATGTGAGCAAAATACTCTTGCACTAGAAAATTACATATTGCTGGTCATTATCTCTGATACATCAGATTTTGACTCTGCTCGGGATCAGCTCAAAAGAAGGGATCTTGAAGCAGGTTGCTTCCACGGAAACTAATACTTAGTAGAGACTTTTCTATTCGCTGTATCGACGTATGACATTCTTCCACTTGCTTTCGATTGCAACTAATGCAGATAATTTAACAAAATTCAATGAAAGACATAGACGACCAGTATCTGGATTATCAAGTGCAACCGAGCTTTACACATACCCTCGTTTTGCAAAAAGCGACTTAAGCCATGGCCAGATCTACATGTCTCTTCAATCAATCTAGCTCAGTTCTCGATAGGGGATTCTATCAACTGTACTGGTCCAGACGGAACTTTTCTTAGGTCTTTCAATGATCTTTATCACACGAAACATACTTGAATGGAATTAGACAAGCAGAATGATCGAGGCTGAAAAAGCTAGCCTGAATGATAGAACGTACTAAACTCAAAAAAAAAACATCAGACACATATAGGGTCAACAAGCTTTCTGAAGATGGGGTGACTTCTATCGTCATATAGTTCCCCAACCTAATCAGTGCTTATTTTGTGCACAAAGCTGTTATGTCGATACGGGACTATCAAGCTTTGTGACTATAGGAGCTATCGGATTCTTTCATGCCCTACCAGTATTACCGCAGTTATCTCTTTTATCGGTTATGGTCAAAATCATTACACTACGTTCCCGCTGAATGATGACTATCATATTTTTTCTGGTCACCAGAAAGATGTATGGAAAAGCAAGATTGACTATTCAGCGTGCTAATAGTGGTAACGACGTTCATAAATGTAACACCGTCAAAACATGACCCCATCACAAACCATTATAAACGCTAACGTTGTTAGCAAAAGCTCACGAGCAAATTTCTCCGTATGACTGAAGAAAGCTTATCCCCACAGTATCTCAAACTTGGTCTTGCGAGCTCAAACTTGATCTTTCGAGATCTTCGTTATGTGCACGAGATATCTTTGTAGGTACCTCAAATATTACTTTTGGTCTACTCCACAAGCAATGGAAACCTACCGCCAGCTGATTCATTGGGAATCAATCCGATCTCGAACATCAATATTTACCCAGCAACTCGTCAACGTGTATCGTTGAATTAGTGCAATCTCTAGGAAAGGGTCAATGAGTTGAGGTGACTGACGTTTTTATCGCAAAAATGTCTCATACGGTTTTCAGACTTCGCACGATGTCAAGATCCTTTGCCAAAATATCAGTCTAGGCCCTAGCACCAAAAATATGACTCCTTCCTCCTCGTTGACCGATATAAGAAATCAGAGTTGCGAAACATTTTGGTGCCCAGAGAAAAAGGAAGGATTTTTTTCATTTTCTTTCATTCTTCATCATTAAGCAAGATCTGCTGCTTCCCTTCATGGTAAGAGCTAGACAGACAATTTCGCGATAAGAACCCTTTTTCCGGGAGAGTTCTTGTGTAAGTTTGTTCAAAACTTCATTCAGATCAATATTCCTCCGAACTAC